GCATTTATGAACAGCAAGTTCATGAATAATTTACCTCCAGACACTCAATAACAGCAAAATATGTATTTATCATAAACCCAGAATACATGTAAAGCAAAAGAGTGCTACCTGTTTAGGTTGATACTGTTGGACACCTGTAAAGTCTGTTGACATAACAGGTGTCGATACTGCTGTTTTAGATGTATCAAATACTTATTCATGTACTGATCTTCATAAAAAAAAAATTGCATTGTATTAATTGGTTACTTATTCTCACCAATGCAATACACTGAGTGATAATAGGCAATCTTAGTATCCTTTGGCACCTGCCATTCCATGTGTGTATTTTTCTTAAGTTTTCCAACAGCTAACTTAAAAAAGAAAAAGTTTTACTCTGGATTACAGCAAATTGTCATTTGTTTGTTATGATATTCATGCCCATGATTGCTTTATTTCCAAAGCAGAATGTATGGTACCAAAACAACATGAATTATCAAACATGCTTTATTTACCAAACACATGTGGGAAGGAAAAAATTGCACATACAAATTGAAGTTTTATCAAAACCAGCATTATGAAGCTATCAATGTAACAAAACATAGAAAAAGACTTATAAATTCCCTTCAGAAGTGCTCTTTATACATGTTGTTGACACAGACAGAGTGAAAACAATGTGACCAGAATTTTCTGTCAACATCAACCATTATTTTTCTGTGTTGACATTGAGACAACAAGGCACCTCTTGCTATACTAACAAAAGTCAAGGAGTGAAAATTTATAATATTGTCGACAAAGATGTCAATTCTTATACAATTAAAACACTTTTAACTAATAAAAAATGTTTATACCTGAATGAGACTTCACAAAGTGGTGAAACATCACAGTGCAAAGATAATGTACTTCAACATATGATTCTCAGCAAACCCTTCATACATTTACAGCCAGAAAGTTATACAAACAATATTTGAATCTTATTTTTTGTCTACATAAAGACTGCCAGTGTGTCTTGATGAATTTATCAAGCAACTGGATTACAGACATAAAAAGCAAGAGCTTAAATGAAATTTTCAACAATCTTCACATTAAAATTAAAAAAGTCCTAAATCTGGCAAATTATTAACATCTTTAAGTTTACAAGAAAAGATAAAATTAATTTTCCAAAGGAAAAAAGAAACCAATGAAATGTTTGTTATACACTTTTATCATCTACATTTTTATAACGTTTGCATAAAGAAAAGAATCTTGTACATATATCATAAAAAAGATAAACATAGAGAACACTTACCACATGTAAAGTTTTTTAACTTTCTGTGGGAATCGTTTAAAATAAGATGACTACTGTTGACTGTATCTTTTTCTGGATGTAAGTAATACAGATCATTTCCATCATGAAGAACACCTCTGAAAACAGACAAAAAAGAAACAGAATTAATCAAATGTTCAACCAATGAAACTTTTTCTTTAGCACCATAAGAATGTTAACTGTTTCAATATTATTTTCTACTAAGTAAACAATGACACCAGACTTAATCTGAAAAAGATCTGGAAAAACCATGTAATTTGTAGATATCTGGGTTGTAAAGGTAGTGTACATCTATAAACAGTTTTATGTAGAGAAATTCAAGATTAAATGAACAGTCTTAAAATTTTAAAACTTTGGTAGAAAAAAAAATTGAGGTCCTGCAAATATATTTAAAAATTAGCTTCTATTGACAGGTGTGTTGTTTATTGGTCTTGACTTGTTTTATATGATTTATTCACTTCTTACTTACACTCACTGTAAACTTTACATTTATTTCAATTTTTAAGGAAAATGATACAGGAGAATCAGAACAGTAACAGTTATTACATAATTTGTTGTAACAGGTTCTGTCTTTGCACATAAATATTCAGTTGAAATTAAGGGCTTAGTGAGGCCCAGAGGTTAGTATACCAAACTATGGAGCCGGGGGTTCTCTGATTCTTGTCCCATTAGCACGAACAAAAATTACATTTTGGAATTACATGTGCATTATAAGAGTGATAGTCAAATCCCACTTATTTGGTTTGACAAGAGTATCCCAACAGTAGGTAATTGGGTGTTACTAGCTACCTACCTCTCCCCTAGTCTATCATTAAAGTTAGGGGTGGCCATCTCAGATAACCCTTGAATAGCGTTGTGTGAAATCTAACAAACAGTTGAAATTGAAGGCTTTCATTCTTTTTTTTTATATGTGAAAATAATGGGAATTAGTAAAATATGATAAGATATGCTAAATATATCTTAATTTATATAACATGTATTTGAAATTTTGTAACTCAGTCTTAAAAAGATGGCTGTTACATTAAAGTTACTTTTTTTTCAATGTCCTTGGATTATTTTTTTATCGTTGTATTGCTTATAACATTTAGATGAACTGAAATGCTATACAGATGAATGAGCATATGTTCTTTGAACAGTTAGGCTTAGCCAGTGTAACAAAAGCATTAAAGTAACATTTACCACTAGAGGTTTGACAGGTTACTAGCATAAAAGAAAAATAACAGCCTCCCTGGTGTTGGAGTGCTGCTTTCAGCCTTGGAACAAAGTATATTCCATTTGTACATTTATTATGTATTATAAAATACATGTCTTGGTTATCTGTCATCACTCTAATCATTGTTATATCAAAAACAAAATTAAAATCTAATTAAAAACTTGATGAGAAATATGACTGTATAAAAGATATATAATACACAAATTGTTTCCTTTATAGACAAAGTCCGTTAGTGCAGTGTTTTTCTTAGAATCCTTTATTTACCCCTTAAGTCAAACAAAAATGTAGTAATTGAAACCATAACTTTCATAACTTAAGTCAAACAAAAA